TTCTATGCTGCCATTACGGTGCACGTGAACGTCCTGCCTGCTGCTCGCAAGAGCATCAACAATGAGGAGAAGAAGAGCAAGAGCTGTGATCAGGCCAGGCGCAAAAGTCATCAGCCAATTTCAAACTTTATTGATGAAGCCTGGTTACCTTGGAAAATTTGAAATCATCGATAATTACAGAGCTTGGAAAATTGCTGTGAACCTCATGAGCAGGTTAAACAAGCGTGGAGTGATCAGCCCTAGATGTGCAGCACGGGGATCTAGAGAAGGGGCAGATAATTGGCTCCCATCTCCCAGCTTGATTTTATTGTACTGACAGACCTCAGCTGCCATCACCGACCACCAGGAAGCAAGGTGAAAACCCCCAGGAGGGCAAGTCCTGGCTTCTTTTTCTAGGGTTGGAATGCATATAAACAAATGCCTAAAGGACCAAACCAAACCAAACTAGCCTCAATTGTTTACGTTGCTTAAGAACCATCAGATATGGGACACCTCTATTGGGCCGAGTTCTTAATCTTCCTTATTAGTCCATGTTCTAGATCATTGTTACTCCTTGTAGGCTGGTATTTCTCAGGTTCCACCTCAGAAGGACTGAGTCAGAATTTACATTTTAGTAAGACCCCTAGAGGTTTTGAGAAGCATTGATCTAATTGTCACATGTCTAGTCATCCTGGCAGACCCGGTGATGGACATGCACTTTAGTTTAGCAATCACTGACCTAGCTATCCCTTGTCTGATCACCGTGGCCAAGCGGCAGAGTCATAGAACGTAGGACATAACAACATCTACAGAGGAAAGGTCTAGATTCATTTTTCTCAGCAGATGACAGTGTAAGTGGCAGCGATTCGAGGTTTTGTATTGATTTGACTTTGACTTCATGTTTGAGGCACAGGCCTGAACTCTGAAAGGAGGGAATACCATGGACAGCGCTGCAGTACTGGTACTTGGTGTGGAACCTGTGTGTGGTGGAAACACAAAAAACTACTGGTGTAAGACACACTTGGCTTTGAATCCTGGCTCTGGCATGATTTAGTTCTCAAAAGTGAACTTGTGAATTGACTCCTTGGGCCTCAATGTTCTCATTTGTAAAATGGGGATGGTAGCACTCAT